CTTCAACTACCCCCGTATAAGGAGCTAATCATCAAAGAGAAACATGCAATGGCACTTTCCGGGGCAGGTCTTGTCGATAACTACCTCATGCATCTGCAGCCCCCGGCGTGAAGCAACCAAAGCGACCAGATCCCCCAGACCTTCGTCAGAGCAGAGCAACGTTCAGAGCAGTGAGGTAGCTTGATGAAGCTAGGCTGTATGTAGCGGCTATGTGGGTGTACGAAACCGCGGCAAGAGGGGTTCACAGAGCTTCCGAGACGTGCACGACCCCCCTGACGGATTTCGAGCTTGGGTTTGGGAAGGGGCTCTGCAAGGGTTCATAGCGCTCGAACCCTACACGAAAAAGTATTTTGACATTCCTGGAGTGCGATTGCTAGGAAGGCGGCTCCACGGGATCCCCAAGCTGACGGCCTGGGCCTAGGGGTCTCCAAGTTTGGTGTCGCAAAGAGACCGAGGGCAGTTCGCAGAGAATACGCAAGGACTCGGCGAGCATGCCGAGAACAAGCACCTGAGTTGACAGATGGGGGTCGGATCTCGGAGTTTGCCAGTGACAGTGAGGTCCAAGAAGAAAAACACTTCACCGTGCCATCACAGAGGCAACATCGGCTACTTCCAAAACAAAACAATTCTCTTGGACAGCGACTCCATCCAGGAAACCATATGATCGCCCAGGAAGCACGAACACCTGGCATGCATGTGCCAGGTTTTTACAAAGATTTATAGAATCTGCCTCTCGTGTTTTTGAATTTTGCGGACATCACTGAAACCGCGTTGAAGTACATCACGACAGAGCCCAGTTCGCCGACCTGAGGAATGAGTCAGAGCGCACAAAAGCCGTCTGAGGAAGCATACAAAAGTTGCCAGAAGACCTGAGGCCTCTGCACAGAACTCGGCATACCACTTCTTCATTCTCAGAGTATTTGGACTGGTCACCTGCCAGGTATGGACCCAGACAAAGCACCCCAAGCAGGCACTCCTGCGAGAGTGTCCGCAAACCCATATACTAGTGTCGTCTACATCGGAGCGGACATCACCAGTTCGAAATGTCCCAACCATGGCCTAAAAGTACTGAAACCGCACTACATGCTTTGTATATACTATGTGTATAGCTAACACAGATGATGTGTATGTGATGCTATACACATTACGCATGCACCTGCGAACATACGGACAAACAAACCGACAGACACGCAGACAGGCTGAGAGACAGACAGACGGGCAAACAAGACGGACGGATGGACAGATGCACGCATAGGTGCATAGAGACATACATATACATGTACATACACACACACGCACACACATGTCTTCAATCGTCCGCCTGCAGTAGGAACAGGCTGAATTATTCTCATTTAACCACTCCACGATGACATGCTTTCCAGAAGGTCCCTCACTGTCTCCAGCAGAAGCCCACCTTCTCCGAGAAAAGTATCGGCAAGGCCCGGAGCAACAAGATGGGACAAACCTGGCATCTTACCTATAGTCTCTATTGTGGTTCCTTTTTGGGGTTACCTTACAGGATCTTTAATATATACTTGGTTCAACCAATAAAAGGAACTACAATGGAGATTATATGTATTATATGTCCTTCTGGATGTATGGATAGCGTTGCGCTGCTTGTGCATCTTATGAAGATTATGGAGGTTGGGGACCTTGTCTTGTTGTGATCGTACCGGTAATATCTTCCTTGCGACAGCCGTGACAGCATCTGGGCAAACTGGCCAGGCCACGATGCGAAGTCCAGCCAGGATGTACCACAGCCTCCGTCAACTAGCATTATCCATCACTCCTGTTTCTAGCTGGCCGCAGTTGCTTATTTCGTGCATGAACCGCTGAGACATACGGCCTTTTGCATGTCTGCTCCAGGCGTCGCAGCGTGAACCGTGCCAGAGAACATGCCAAACCCTAAAACCCCAACGCTTAGGTCCCAAAGGCCTGAATTCCTGAAATTTTCCTCCAGGCAGTACTGGGAAGCGCACCACTGCGGAGCCCAAAGCCACGTCTCGCCTGAACGGCAGCTGATTGCGGGCTGTGGCAGCAATGGCAACAGCAACAACGGCAAATGATCCCAGCCCAAAGAACAGCAGCAACAGCAAATCAAATGTAGAACTGCCAGCATTTATCACAGACCTCTCCTTGACAGCGACAAGCCTTCGGAGAAACCGTAAACGCTAAGATGAAATCAGAGATGGGAGTTTCCGAAAATGGGAGACCCGAATATAGTACCCTAAATAGTAGGATCCCTTATATTTACAGAGTGACCCGGACTCTATATTTAAGGACCACAAACTAAGATGCGCCTAGTCTTCCCAAATGAAGATGAACTCTAAAAGAGATGCCATGCCTTCCGCCAGCTCTGGTGGGTTGAAGAGCTCCAGAACTGCGACCTCAAGTTCGAGCCCCGAGTCGCTTTTCGGGGGTCTACTATCCAAAACCCCAACCTCCTTCTTTTCCCCCGGCCAGCTTCAGGCTTTAGAGCGGGGGCTTGAACCGCAAGTACTGTAGTAATATCCCAAGCCCTACCTTTTTTTCGCCCCCCCAACCTCCTTCAGGGTTTTCGGGTTTAGGAAGGACTACCCACGCAGGGCGAGGGAAGCTCGACGAAAGATCCAAGGTGGAGGCGGGCAACTCGATCAGGGTCGTCGGCCCCAGGAAGAAGAAGAAGCCCACGAGATGAAGCAGCACCTGGGTTTCGGTTTAGCCATTAGAGGTTTAGGCTTTAGGTTTTAGAGGCTTAGGGCCTAGAGGTTTAGGGCTTAGAGGTTTAGGGTTTAATTGGGATGGTTTGGGTCTCAAGAGTTGATGTAAGGTTTAAAGGTTTCAGAGTTTAGGGCTTGGGGTGTGGGTTGTATAGGGTTTTCATCCTCTGAAGTGAGCTCTCGCTGAGAGGCGGGATAGTGGCGCTTTCATGTGATCTGCATGGATTTACTGGTTCTTTTTGTTGCTGTTCTGCTTCCTCGTATTCTTGTCACCAGTGCTAGTACTGCCCGGTGTCAAGAATATCATCGAACGGTTGTTCCTAATGTCATGAGTGCTCACAACCTTCGATTCCTAAACTTCACAAACCCGAATACCACCAGACACTAACAAACACCGAAATCTTGAAATCACTAACCCCTTCACACCCTCTGTAAATTTCAGGCTGCGGGCCCACTGGAAGACGTAGAGGGTGTCCAGGTCAGAAACGGGCAGATACTGCCGCATCCGAGCATTCGAGCCGCCTCGCAGAGCAGCGCAGGGTCGGAGGGGTCAAGGGCTGTTGGCCGGGGGAGGGGGGGCAGGTTCGGCTGGTATAGGTATAGGGTTTGAGGCTTTGCGGCGCTTTAGTCTGCGAGGATTGAAGAGCTGCCTGCATAAGCTTTCAAGACCCTTCGGACCGTTCTGTCCAACTGTCTGGTGACGAGCGCTATCCCTTGTTTTTCGTCGTGGTTCGGGGCCTAGGACTCTCCTCACACCAAACAACAGACAGACGGACGCACACACTTGACACATCGTGTCGCAGGTCTGATCTGTCGGTGCATACTGTCAGGGAAAGTCAGAAGCTGTCAGGGAAAGTCAGAAGCTGTCAGCGCTCTAGGGTTACTGATTTGCAGGTACGTTTACACGAGCACCGAGTGAGGGTCTTCGTTGGCCCGGACCTCACTCGGGCTCTCCGGGCCCCCTGCTCATTCGACTCAGATTTACCTACCCTTCGAAACAGGGGTGGACACACACAAGCCCTCCCGGGCTCATTGCATCCGTTCGAAACACCGGTTGACATACACATGCTCATTCGAACTTACTGACAGGAAGCACTCACGAACAAAACACATGCATGACAATGCAATCACTTGCCCAGCACTTGCATGACAATGCGCACTCACTTGTCCAGATCGCCACCAGACCACCAGAAACCAAAGCTCCACCACCAGCAGCTCCAATGCTCCACCGGGCCACCAGAAACCACAGCTCGCTCCACCAGCTTCGCTTCTGTACAAACAAAACGCTGCAAGCAAGCGATGCAGTAAGGCAGAGAGATGCGCACTCCGAAAGCATGTAGGCATGCACTCACTCACCAAGGAAGAAAAACGTTTTTAAGCTTGCACTTGCACGACACTTGCAATGCAGTAAAGCAGCGAGATGCGCACTCCGAACGCATGTAGGCATGCACGCATTCTCCACAGAAGAAAAACGTTTGCTAAACTGACACTTGCACAATACTTGCACGACGACACGCACTCACTTGCACTGCTCTTGCCGATCGCAGAGTCACTGACCAAGGTAACACCTGGTGCCAAAGCTCAACGAAGTCTCAAACTGCAGCACTTGCACCAATCTTGCACGACCCTTGCACTTCACTTGCTGTGGTGCCACGAGAGGAGGGTGGGGCAGCAGTGGGAAGGGGAGGGGGTGGCAAAGGAGGAAGGGGAGAGGAGGAGGGTGGAGGGAGAGGCGGGGGAGGAAGGGGGGGAAGAGATGTCCCGGCACTGCGTCCTTTACCTGAAGTATCCATGGCAAATTGATCAGCAACTACCAAAAGTACAGCTCATGTACTCAACTTGCAGCCGAAGACCTGCGACAAGTCAGCGGTAAAGTCAGGTTCGGGAAAGTCAATCAGATCATAGAAAGTCAATGGGAAAGTCAGCATTCAGGTTTCGGCAAAGGCATTTGGGAAAGACTCACTGAAAAAGTCAGCTTGCAAGCACGGATATAGAATCAGGGAAAGTCATCCAATGCTTATACAGTCAATCGGGAAAGTCAGCGCCAGAGCTACCTCTGGGAGACACGGCGCCCATAGGGAATGCCGTTGTGAAGCACACTTGACACATCGTGTCGCAGGTCTGATCTGTCGGTGCATACTGTCAGGGAAAGTCAGAAGCTGTCAGGGAAAGTCAGAAGCTGTCAGCGCTCTAGGGTTACTGATTTGCAGGTACGTTTACACGAGCACCGAGTGAGGGTCTTCGTTGGCCCGGACCTCACTCGGGCTCTCCGGGCCCCCTGCTCATTCGACTCAGATTTACCTACCCTTCGAAACAGGGGTGGACACACACACACACACAAACGCAAACGCAGATGCACGGGCATGGAAGGTTGCCTGCTCCCGATATGACGGGAGTGTTCATGACCATCATGAGACCGAAAGGCGCCTGTGGTACCAGTTCTTCACACCGACTCGCGCGCCGCAGATGCAGAGCTTAGGCAGGAGCGATGGCGCCACGAAAGGCATGCCTGCTTCAGTCTGCATGAAGAACGTCCGCATCGATACTGCCGCTCTGAGCCAAGGGCAAGCAGCACGAGAAGATGTCGCCTGGGGCTTTGATCTTGCGCAGCTGCACTGGTAAAGCTCTGCTGCCAAGTGCTTCAATACCTTTGGAATCGCTGGCGCGACTACTTCCCGCAATTACAGAAGTCCAAGTATCACTAGAACTATCGCAACTGCTACTGCGGCTGCTACTGGGCACTAGCATCACTCGCACTGCTGCCGCAACTACCACTGCTGCCACGACTCGACAGGCCTTCCCATCAAATAGAAATTGAACCCTGAAGCCCAACCGCAAAAATCCACAAACCTACCCCCAGAGCCCCTAAACCCAAACGCCTGCAAGCCCGAAGCTTTACACCTTCAAGCCCCGAAACTCCGAAAGCTCCTGAACCCCTCGGGCCCGACCCCCCAGGGCCCAAAATCCGAATTGTTTAAGGACCCTTTGAATTTAGAACCTTCCACCGCCGAAATTCAAACGCTCAAAAGGCTAAAACTCCCAGAAATCCTCAGTCAGTCCAGCTGCCGCCCTTGAGGTGCATCATGACATTGCCCAGGAGGAGGAGATGCGCCGCCGGCCTGGCCTGATACGGAGTCTCCGAAAATTAGGTTGATATGGATCCTACTATTTAGGGTACTATATTCGGGTCCCGTATTTTCGGAAACTCCTATACTGAGCCCTCCATCTACCCGCTTCCCCCAAAGCGGGGCTTTTGGGCCCTGTTTAAGGGTAGCGGCAAGCTCCGAGTCCTACCGGTTCTTCACCCTAAAGCCCTCAACGCCTGCCTTCAAGGATTTTTTGATTTCTTGAAGTGGAGTTGAGGTTGTGGAACTCTAGAACTTGACCAAAACTGGCTGGAAGGGTTTAGCGCCACCCACCTTTTGGCTTTTTGGTTTGCGCATTGCTCCACGACACGCTGGACTCTGACGATACTTAGCCCCATACTCTGTCAGCCCCCCCCAAGTCCAGGCTGAGGAGCCGGCGGTGGCTTCGACTATTTGAAACTCCGTGGTGGAGGTATCCCCAAAGGTCTCAGACATGGTCCTCAGATGGTTTAGGGGAGCCAGCCCGGAGAATGGGATCATAAGAATCTCCCATCAGGCCATCCACTGGCCATCTGAGGCCGAGGACTCAGGATGATGCTTCAACATCAAGGTCATGTCCACGTTGCCCTCGGAAGGGCTCGGCGGAGGGCTTCTCAAAACATCGCTTACTCTGGCCTTCCCTTCTTCTGCCAAAAACCCTTACCGCTAGCTTCCGGTGATGAAGCCGAACCTATCGGTAAGACGGCCCGAAACTCCGAAATGCCTCAGTATACCAAATAGCCTCAAGCAGAGTGCCTTCGCGGCCTCAGCTGCAAACTCCTTAATGTACACATTCCTGACAGGATGCTTCCTTCTCTAAGATTGAAGACTTTCGGGACTTCGGGAGCCTCATGGGGTGAGCACGCGGGTGCAGTTTGTCAATGGACAAAGGAAACAGCGGGAGTCCTGTTGCGCGGTGACAGCCACCAAATGTGGATGGCACTGACCTGAAGCTTCCGAAATGCTTACCTGTTGTACCGATACTTAGCATGACAATGCTACAGCACAGCTGGGCATTCTGCAAAGACCGATACTTAGCATGACAATGCTACAGCACAGCTGGGCATTCTGCAAAGGCCCAGTGGCAGATTCGTGTTGCAAAAAAGACCTTAGCGATGCCAACTGTTGGAAGAATCTTGCCTGAGGAACGACTTGCAACTCTCAGGCAATACTCTTGTCCGACTGGCACAGTATCAGAGAGCAATCCTTCTAGGTGCAGTGCGAGGCAAGCTCCAATCGTTTGGATCGTGAGTTCGCCGCCCGCCAGGATGGTGATCACCATTATTTGTGGCCTCACAAAAGAGCGCGCCGCTCATGGAGATTACAAGACTTCGATTCCTGGACTGGGCTTGGCACTTTTTCCGCCGTACTTTGCCAGCGGACAAGGCTGATGTCTGTACGTTTGAGAGCACTTTTACAAACTTACCGAGGCCACTGATGTCTGCACGTCGACTGCTGCAAGAACCTTCTCAGCATACTTACACGGCGGAGGGCAAACAGACGTGTATGAGTGCTTACAAGGCTTACATGTCCATGGCGGGCAGCGATGTAATGTGTGGACTCGTTCACAAACTAATGAAGGGAAGGGAAGCTGTCGTTCATGACATTACGGGCAGGGCAAGTCAGTTTATTCTACCCAGACGAGGTTCGTGCGACCTAGTTTGAGCCAATGGCTTCTGATGAGGATGCGCCATGTCAGTTGCAAAGAGAAGGCAACCTGCCCTTGTCTCCATGGGCCCAACTTTGCACACCACCATCTCCTCCGGCGGGGCATTCCATGATTCTCGACTGCATGCTTCTAGGGAACGGCCAGACTTTGCAAGGCTTCTCTGCACACTCCTTGACGGGAGTCGGTGTTTGCGTATCCTGCATGATACTGTGCAAATCTTCATGCCGTGAGCACTGACAGCTAACTATGTAACGGACCGCTTGCTTTGATTCAAGTTTGCAGTGCTGGACAAACTAACGCCTTCAATCTATCTCCAGTTAAGCTTGCGTGAGCAACTCGAGAGCAACTTGCCTCGCCAGTCGCGGTCGATTCCCCCGCGGGTGTTTGGCTGCGCGGATCTCGGACACCGGAGCATGCGCCGAAATCGCCCGAACCCCAAAGGTTGTGCGCCTAGTGCTCGGCAGTGTTAAGACTGTTGAGCAGGCACCCTTCTTGCCGGTTTAGTTTCTGAGAAGTTGAAGTCGAATAGTTGCTGTGCCTGCAGCACCATGTGCTCAGCCGTGTTGCTCGAGGGCGTGCAGGACACGTGTGGCCCTTGGGGTACCAAGCTCAACACAGATAAGGCTGTGGCCCAATCCATCCATGTTGATGGGAGGTGCACTATCTGCGACGGTCTGAGACCTGACTGAGACCGGCCGAAAACTGAAAGCTCGAAGCACAAGCCACTGCGATGAAGCCGGCATCAATCTCGGCATCAAACGGCATTTCGCTCATGGCCCCCTTGAGGGAGGCGAGCTCATCGATGGGCGTTGTGCCGGGAGAGCTGGTTGTGACCGGCCGCCTGGTGAACTTCACACAAGCCAGACTTGCATCTGCGTGCAGTGTAGCTATAAGCTACTACAAACTATATTCTTTTAAACCTACCCTACCCTACCATACGTCTGCGAAGTTGCTTTGCCGGTGTCAAGGTAGAATTACGAAGCTCTAACCTCTGTTGCAGCACATCATGGAGCCAGCTCCCAAGCCCCGGACTCGATCGGCTCTGCCAATGCTGGCTCTTCTTGCTGTACCGTGAACACGCTGCCCGTTGGGTTGTCGATGCAGGACCTGAAGCGCATGACGGCTCGTCAGCTCGTACTGTAGGTAGTGCACAAGCACGGTTCAGAGATCAGTTCTCCTACACCCGCCACACGGGCCATGCCTGTTAACCAGTAAGGTAGCACGTGCACACCGGCATGTTGGCCAGGCTGTTTGGCAAACCCAGAAGTTTCAGCAGCCAGGTGCGCGGCTGAATGCTGCCGATGCAAAGCAGGTTCGCACAGTTCAGGATGTGCAAAGCGTCCTGCTCGTCAAACTTTTAGAGCCTCCCTGTGGACCCTGCCGAACAACTCGAGAGTGCCAGCAAAGTACTGCGACTGTGCGAGTGTAGTGTTGGGAACCCCAGTCTTGTCACTTTGGGATTGGGTCTGCGCCATTATGGGGGGCTTGTCAGCAAGGTTCCATAGACTCCATGACCCTATGCCGATGCCATAGATGCTGCCTTTTTCAAGCGTCGGACACACTGCGCCAGTAGTCCGCTTGCTCGGACAGACTGCGGATTCGTGCTCGGAGCTTCTTCAACTCCTCACGTATCTCGAGTGTCCTGAAGGGGTGCAATAAGGTGCGGTGACAATTTGTGTTGACGGTAAAGGAACTCCAGCGTTCGATGTTGGTCAATTTCCTTGAGCCGAACGTCATGTTGCATCGCAATCCACTGCCACAGCGAAACCGAACAGGATTGGCTTTGTAGTCCAAGTCTACGGCGTCCCTATCTTGGTTTGAACAGGCGGCCGCTGATGTCACGACCACTTACTTGTGTGTAAGGAGGAGGTTGCAAGTCGAGGTTAACTGAAACAACAGTGGTTAAGCCTATATTTAGGCCAAACATCTTTGACCTTCGACCCAACTTTAGAACATTGGCTGGGATCATCAGCACCAGATCTTACAGAAAGGGACGAGTGCACTTCAACATCTTAGTTGTACCAATATACTGCCTTACAGCTGCGATGATAGTTGATGGAAGTGATGGTGCTGGTGATGGACATCCGACACTATGATTTCCGGCGGTATCATTAGGATGCTTCCCGTTCCAGTTGTCACTGCTCCACTGTCCCTATGAACCTGAATGACACTCTACCATTGATGATATTGATGTGTCCTGAGCCCCGCTCGCAGCTCCTCCCTCTTCTGTCCACTGCGCTGGTAGGACTCCGTCAAGTTCAGGTAGTACTCTTCATCCGAGCTGAGTTGTTTCAGTTTTTGCTGGGCTTTCGCCAAATCTTCCTTAGAAGCCTGGAACTCTCGGACGGCAGAAGCGTCTCTGTATCCCTGTGGCTGACGGAGCGAGTCTGCACGGCGCAGGATGTCCTGAAAAGCATCCCAGCCAGCAGCGGCCCACTTCTTTGCGTCCCTCGACTTCGGGAAACCTGCAGCTGGTGGCTCTCGGATATCATCTGCCCTTTTGGCGGAAGTCCCTGGGTTGGAGGTGTAGGTTCTGCGACTTTCCTGAGTCCGAGCGGAGCGTCTCGCCTCTTCCTCACTCCACTTTTTCCGGTACTCCGGGTCGATTAACTTTCCATAAGCCTCCGACAGTTTTTGCCAACGCTTCAAGGCGCCGGGGCTTTTGTTCACATCGGGATGCTCTTCTTTGGCACGCCGACGGTAAGCTCTCTTGACTTCCTTGACACTGGTTCCAGACGGAACGCCCAAGACTTTCCAGTAATCCTCCGGGCTCGCCCTGCAGATGCTCCGAAGCCGAAAACCTCCTCCGGGCCTGAGACTGGGACGCGGACCCGTGAAGAGCTCGCGCGGCCAGACCATCAGAGCCTGGGCCAGACCTGCGAGAAGCGCAAGGCGCGTGACGGAGCTCCGAACCATGGCTTTAGTCCAGCTGGATAGAGTGGACCCCCCGTTGTTGGGCAGCGAAAGCCTCCTCGTTCTGTTTGCGGGGTGGGTGTCTGACGTGCTTCACTGGGTTCCTCGAGGGAAAGATGCGTTGTCGTCCTCGTCTGCCATCGAGCCTTTTCTGGTAACTTTGGCGGCCTTTGAGACTTTTGCAGAACGTTGTGTTGCAGTGACGTGTGCATCTGTGGAGGAAGCTTGGAGCCATGAAAGCTGCGAAAACAACCAGGGGAGAGCCACTTCTCCACACAGGACACAGCGAAGCATCTCCAGGCATCTCAGGGAATCCTTCACCCGGATGCTGACGCACATTCGGCCCTGAATGTGGACCTGGTGTCAACGCACAGAAGCTGAAAAATCGGATCCTCTCCAAAACTTCCCGAGGCCCCGAGCTCGTCGGGAGGTCCCGCCGTAGTGGCCTGGGAAGCGAGCGCGGTGTCGTGAGCGTACGGTATGGAAGCGAAGGCAAGGCAAGGCCCTGGCGGCTTGTGAGGCGTTTGTACTTCTTCTCTGCCGAACCTTGCGATTTCTAGCGGTTCTAGCGGTTCAAATTGTTCAGGGTTGAGGTTGTACGGGTTTGGAGTTTACAGTAGGCTCAGGTTTGAGGGACCATGTCATGCACACCCACGCCACCTTCGTCTGCGTCCAAGTCCAGAATGTGTGCCTCCCATGGCCCGAAACTGTACGTGACCGGACCGGAGCACCACGACCAAGACTCGCACCCACTGCGGCAGCTCGTAGGCGCCAAATCCTTCCGGGGAAGCGATTGAGGCGCCAGCCGACAAACAACTTGGCGCCCCCCTTGGCGCGCGCCTGTCGTGTTCTCTTTGAAGAGCTCCCAAAGCTTCGTTTGAAAGTTCTTGAAGACCTGTCCGCCAGCAACTCGCAGCAGGGCTCCAAGATCGAGAGCCCTTACCGCAAAGGGCCCTGACCCTGTAACCCCTGGAACCCCTTGAAGCCGACTGCCGGTTTCCGGGTACTTGCAACGGGGAGTCAAGGCCTGCTGAAGCTGGCCATCTACCAAGAACTCGAAGGTGCCTGGGCAGTCGGCTGGAAGCTTTAAGCTCAAACCAAATCACACCCACACATGCAACTTCCGTAATTATCCACTTCAGACTTCCGATGGCATCGTAAGACTACCCCGTGTGCCGCTAACACTCTGCTTTCATGGCGGATGTCAACTTTACAGCATCGCGATGGCGATCGTGGTCGCCGTAGGTGTGATGATGACGAAGAGGGGTGAAGAGCGGCGGCGGATGATGGCGACGATGATGCTGCTGCTGGTGGCGGCGGTGATGATGGTGTTGCTGCTGTTGCTTTTGTCGATGCTGATGGTGATGTTGATGCTGATGTCGATGCGGACGATGATGGGATGAGGATGGTGGTGATGACGATGGCCATGAGAGTGGCAAGAAGCAGAGGGTGCAGATACATGATGTTGCTAATAATAATGGTGACAGTTCTGATCATGGCTATTTGTCAATGCGGACATGCCGCCGCAAGACTCGACGCCGATTGGCTGCTCCACCTCAGCTTGGCTATGATGCAAAACCCCCTACGAAGATTAATCAAACGAAAGGAACTTATACAAAAACTCTAATATACATATACACATGTCTGTTTCCATATATGTATGTGCGTGTGGGGGCGGGGTGGGGGCGCATTACATAAACTGACGGATGCTGAAGCCGCTGAGTGCGCATGTATCCAGACACGCTAATGTACGTAGAAATCCTGCAGACGTTTTTATCTTGCCGAATCATTCACCCGCATCGTCGGAAACAGCATACCTTGCATCTTTCATGAAGTCCATTGAGAGCATGTCTTTACATAGCAATGATAGATTCATTCAATCACCGGTCCGACTACATATGCGGGTCCGAAGGTTGAGCTTGGCAAATGTCTATCCAAGTGGCCTTTGGCAGGAACCGTTCACGAAGAAGCGCCTTGAGCATCGACTCCAGCCCCTGCTCAGCATGAAGGCTTGGAGGCGGTCGTTGTCTATAAGTAGGGAGGAAGGAGTAGAACGGCTGATGATATAAACCCTGCATTACCAAGAATAAGTAATGTACCATGATTCCCAGAGTTTAAGGCCCTTAAGGTAATGCAGGATTTATATCATCAACAGAAGTAGTTGTCGTAGCAACAGGAGCGGTGACCATGCCGGGGCAAGACTTACAGTGACTTCAATTCACATCTACTCAAGAAAGCCTTCCGGTGAAGCCATGCATTGCTTGGGTCTCAGTAGCTCCGTCTTGCCTGATTCTCGGGGTAGGCTGCAGGGGCCATTCTCACCAGCGCCTCGAGGAAATGGCGGAACCTGAAAACGTGCCAGTTCCAGGCTAAGCTTGCTGGTGGCCGCTGGACTGGAGAGCTCAGGTACTCAGGGCAACAAAAATTCAAAAAAAAGGCAAAGCGCACAGCGTCGGTAAGCCAAGTGCATGAGTGACATCGTCGGGGAATGCACCTCGTTATCAAAAAAACAGACACGCGCAGCCGTGCAGCACGCGAAGCAGCTTGGTGCCAAACATCCAAGATCTTCTCGCTGGCTTCGGCATCTCCTAATCGCCAAAACCTGTACTGAGCAGGGCTCGGCCGTGTTTCCTGGAACCAAATTCACAAGGAGCACATAGGATCCCTGTAGGATCCCCGCTTGCTTTGATCAAAGAAGAAGTCCATGGGGCCGCTGGATCCAAACTGCCTGCGCAGCTTGCGCTTTTCGAGATGCAGGTCAGGGACACGCTGCGACACCTGGTCCCCAAGGATTGGATGGTGGGACGTCGCCCAGGTTGAGCGGGGCCATCACCCATGGTACGGTTGGTGCCTGTGACCAGGACATGCAGATATGGCTTTGAAGATTCTGTCAGATTCATTGCAAGCAGATATACTATGACATGTTATGACATCAGGGGGGCATCTGCAGTACATCATCAAGGCACTAGACTAGATCCACAGCCGCACAACCAAGTCAGCTCCCCGCCCTGCCTCGACTCACTCGACTGACTCGGCTGTTGGCCCTGCTAATTCGGCTTTGTCGTGTCCGGGCGCTGTTTCTGTCGTCGCCATCGTCCTCGTTCTCCTCGTCGTGCATGAAGCTATCCTTGGAGTTTGCAAAAGTAAGGTCCCAATATTCTAGAGCCTGAGAAGACGGAGCTCAACATGCAGATGGTGCTCCTCAATCCCACCACTAAATTGCACCGGGGGCAGATGCGAAAAATAATAACTGGAGTGGGAGCTGCTGTTAGGGGAACTACATTACGACAGATGCTTAACTCCTACCAGCATCAACAATCCCACGGTACACCCACTCAACATCCGATGGTACAGCATGGTACAGCAAGATACAGCAACTCGGAACACTGCAGACACCTCGATTGCACAAATGATATGGCTGAAAAGATGCATCATTATGATGGTCCCAGGGGCTAACCACCTAGATTCGGAGCAGCTTGCGCAGGAAACACTCATGGTAAGGTGTTGATATGGTGAACACGATATCTAAGATTCGTGGACGGAAGAGTACAGTTGAGATTAGCGCAGTGAATCAGGGACTGCAAGAATTGCCAGGGTCCATGTCATGTATACTGTATACTTCGGATTTGTGGGAGGTGATACAAGCAACATCATGGCCCTAGGTGGAAGGCACGTTTGCTAACCTACGACTCAAAGTGTTTGTAAACCATTTCGCGGCTCATCCATACACATAGGATTCGGAGACGGATTTAGCGAGGTTCTGGCTGGGGTTGAGGGCATGTAAGAGCATCGGTAGCAGATTGTTCAGGTCCTAACACACGGAATTTCAGGTTACGACCGAGAAGGCTATAAGGACGGTCGTACTACTACTGGTGAGATATGGATACTGTAAGGAGCGCAGGGTCTGACAAATCAAATTTGGTGAGAGCACGGGGCGGCGGGCGGGGTTTGTACTCAGCCGGGAGTCCAGAAAGACTTTTGACAGGGGGGTGGGCTGATTCCGGAGGACGACGATGGTGGAAAGCCCAGAAAAGTTGCGGGGGCCTGAATACTTTGTGTTTCTGCGCATCCGGTGCAGCGATAAGCTACTGTAGCGTAAACATCGACCAGCTAGCTTTTGTAGTTGTGTACAGCGTTGGAGGATTGGATTTGCAGCATGGAGTCACGTAAGTACGGGCTTGCGTCTCATAAAGGCCTCGTTTGACGACGAAAAACTGCATCTTACACAAGACTCTGCCATAACATGCCATACCATGCCAGACCATACTTTTGCGAAGATTACATTACACTCGACTAGAGTCTACTATTCCGGGGGCCTTCCCCCCCTCCCCTCGCAGTTTCTGGGGCCTCGGCCTCTGCCTCGGCCTCCTCCTGGTCGTCGTAGTCGTCGTCTTCGTCTGTGGCCTCCGTCGCCTCTCCTGAGGGTTAGGGAGTTTAGGGCATAGGGATGCATGGGGTTAAGCGTTGAGGGTTTGGGGTATAGGGGTGTACTATAGGGGCCTAAATAATCACCAATACTATTTTTTTGGGCGGGAGGTCCTTGCTATGATTATGGTATAATGGGCCCCAAAACCCGATTCTAACTATTAAGGCCCCTATATAAAAGGGAGTGGGTACTATGGGGCTTGGGGTTAGGGGGCCGTGGGATGTGTGCATGGAGCCCGCCTGAGTTCTCCTTGGAAGCCTTGCCCTGCCTCAGAAGCATCAGATTTGGGAGTTTCCCCTTACGGAAAAGCCCATTTCAGAGCTGCCCACCAGGGAATGCCTGAGTGCCCGACTTGGCATCTCGTGAACTCATCACGGACGGCCTGCCGGACAGTTTTCCGCATGCCGACATTCAATGTCTACGGATGCACTCACAGTTCGCCTCGGCGTCAGGGGCCGCAGCTCCTGTAGGTCTTCGTGAAACGCCTCTCCGTGCCGCCTCATGCCGGACATGATGTACCTGTTCACCCGACTGAGCGGGCATTCGGGAGTCAGCATTCCGGTATCTCGGAGAAGCATCCAGAGTTGGAAGGCATACATGACCCAGGGGTCGTCGCCGGGTCTCTGGATGATCCTCCGCACTTTGGCGTAGACCTTCCTTTGCTGTCTGCTGTTTCCATTGCTGGATCACAGATTGACTACGTTCGGTGAGCCTCAATGTTTGGAAAGCGCCGTCGGGAATACCGGCCGGCTGCATTAGAGAGAGCCATCTGGGTCCTATGTTGCTACAACACAAGGACCAAAGGAGTGCGAGAAAGCTATTCTCTTCAGGCAAGGAGCTTGAGATCCCCCACTTGCCGCAACAAGATGTTGTAGATTTCTCGGAAGACCTCTGTCGGGTCCGTGTAGCCGGTGAGCTCGGTTGGATCCGTGATCGCCCGGTCGTTGGGAAGGCAGAAGCCTGCAGAAAGCATGCTACAGTACCGCATCCCCTAGGGGACCAGTGTTAACGAATCGGGGCCGTTCTCAAACCCTTTTAAGTACCCCTTTTCCAGTTCTGTTTGCTGCTGTCACAGGGACCCCCAAAAGAACCCAAAGCCTGATCAACCCACGCTGAACCCGGACGTGACCCTGAACAGGAACGACATCCTCGGAACGCAATTGCAATCTGTGAACCCGTGAGGTCGTTGATTTCTACGCACCGCCGCACCGGGTTCTCGGCCCCCCCGACATTGAGGAACTGAGTCGTGGATGCCTCTGCAGGAATCTCACTAGCAGTACTGTCCTTTGCCATGTTGTCCATGACGAACTCTCCGGTGTACACCCGGCCATCTTCGTAGGTGTACCGGCCTTCACCATGCTTAATGTTCTCCGACCACTGGCCTTTGTACTGAGCGCCACTGGCAAAGTTGAAAGTTCCGTAACCTGATCGAAGCCCCTTTTGCCAGAGGCCCTCGAAGCTGTTGTTGGACTGCTGCGAAGGCATCTCTTTCCTTGGGCCTTGGCCTTCTCGCCCATCGTCCCGGACATGCCAGGTATACTTCCCATGGCCCTCGGGCATGTCATTCGCCCACTCTCCAGTGTAGCACTCCGGCATTCCGTTCTCAGACCAGGTCATGGTTCCGAAGCCATGGATGCGGCCCTGATCCCACTGCCCTTCGTAGCTGTTCTTGCTAGGCCAGACCTGCCGTCCATGGCCATGCTTACAGCCATCCTGCCACTCCCCTTCGTAGAAGGAGTCGCCGGCCCGGTCGTACACAAGGCGGCCCTGACCATGCCTTTTGCCGTTTTGCCACTGACCTTCGTACTTGGTGACCCCATCCGCAGCAAGGAAGACTCCATGCCCATGTCGCCTTCCGTTCAGCAGGTTCCCTTGATACGAAGAGCCGTCGGGCCACGTGTACTTGCCGTGGCCCTGGATATCGCTTTGTACAAAAGGCCCTTCGTATTGAGTGCCATTCTTCCACTGGTACTTGGCAGACAAAGCATCAAAGCACCTTTTGCCGATGTTGTTTGTCTTCACATACCCCGTGTATGTGTGCTCATTGAGGGTCACGGTGACTATCCGATGTTCTTCACTCGGACTTTCTGTTTCTCGCTTCTTCTCCCTCTTCTTCTTGGGTTTCTTGGACGTTACCACCGCCTTCTTCTTTGATGTTCCCATGGCACCTGCTGAATCAACTGAGGCACATACCTTGCATAGTTTTGGCTAAGCTGCATGAGGGGCTTGTGCTGAGGCGAACGAGCATAGGCTGGTAATGTGTCCTCTTCGGTTCAAAGCTTGCATAGATCTGAGCTACTTTATGGCCAGTTTGGAGTTTGGAAGATGGTAAAACTGTCAAGACGTCGAGCCCTGGTCTATAAATAAGGAAAACACTGCGGCAATGGCCCTTCTTGTGAGCAACACTACACTCACACTGAGCTTCTGATGGGGCACAAAGCCTCGCTGCGCAAGTCTCAACGACTTCAACATGACTGCAGGCAGGGATCGGTTGCTTTTCTGCTAATGTCCCAGAACTCGTGCCACAATCATCGACCGGAGTGTCAGCTGATTGCAGCCAGAGACTATGCTACAAGTCGGAAGCGGCCGTCGGCACGCCGGTGTCTTGGGGACCGGAGCTCAGGACTGCAGCCTTGGCATCTCAGCTCCGGTGCACAGCCCCAAAACGGTCCCGAAGAGTTGATGTGCGATCTTTGGCACACGTACTCTGAGAGTCAGAATGCATAATTGAAGGGCTCTGTGTCTTTCAGTAGCACGTCGAAATTGACCCGGACCTGACGCACCAAACCAGGGATCTGTCATGACCTGTCCAGCTTCCAGCTGACCGCGCCTTGCCGCCTGATTGCACTCGGATTACCTGCAACCAGCGAAGCTCATCCACGACTTCTTCGGGCTCCGACGTAAGATGCCTCGCGTCCATCCGTTCCGGCTAGGATGCGGGGGTCCACCAGCTGAGCAGGGTTGCCAAAGAGCGCACCTTCCCAAGTCTCAGAGATGTCTGAAGTTCGAGATCTTATCAGCAGCTCCGCATTGCCAAGCTTAGCCGATCGCCCAGCAGTCTGGTTAGTGGGCTGGACGACAGGGGGCAGTAAAGGCGTATCCTGAGCTTGTACTCCAGCCCAGCCTCCCTCTGCTTGCCTTCTGCCTGAGCCGATGACGTGCGCGTGTGCCTGCCAGGCTGGCAGGGCACGTGAACGGATCCATAGCCCTTGACCTTGGCACAAGGAGACTCAGTCGAAAGCGAGCCGGGACAGAGATAAGACGGGCATTCCCCATCGAAGTGCTTAATACAGAGGCCGAGCACTGCACGACTCGCCGATTGCAAAGATCTGTTCCTCAACAGCATGTACGGCAGAGTTCGGTGCGACGGTGCTCCTCTATGAGTGAGCAACAGGGTGGCACACCATAGACAGTCACCACGAGCCGTGGCCATCCAAACGGCCTCACTATCCAGGAACCGCAATACTGGATGGCATAGGTTATTCTTGGTTCTTTGTTCACGACGAATGCCCTTCCTGCAAGCTCGTGCCAGAATTACGATGTACCGCGCTCCTAGCCCCGCATCATGGAGCTGACGTGCCCCGGGGCTGGTCATCAGCTTCGCGCTGAGGCGTCCGCGAAGTGGATTTGTAAACCAAGCCGAGGGGGAAGCTCCAGACCTAGCCAGATCAAGGAGCAGATGTCCTGCTGCTTCTGACACAGGCCATGCGAAATACAAGCGCCTGCATTTACACACTGTATACCGCATGCTGCATGTGTACGAAAAAAGAGAGGGAGCGAGGGAGAGAGGAAAAGAGAAACAGAGAGCGAGAGATAGACAGAGATGCTTCATCATGAAGGTCTACCCCTATTTAGATAATGACACGTATGTGGATGCTTGCATGAAGGGATGCAGCAAGGGCTGTACATACAAACGCATCGAGATAGAAAGAGAATGAGAGGTAGAGGTAGAGATAGATGTATCGACAGATAGATAGACAGGTAGAGAGGCAGATAGTTATATAATTAGGTGGGTAGATAGATGGATAGATAGATGAAACGATAGATCGATGGATCGACGGATGCATGATGGATGGGTGAGCGGTACCGGCGGTACCTGGGCCCGAGACGACCTCGGAGAGTCCCCCTCGCCAAGAGGGTGCCTTGGCCAGGACTTTGAGGGCATTGGGGCAGGCATATCTACATATGTATGTGTACGTATATATATATATATATATATATATGCATGCGTATGCGTATGCGTATGCGTATGCGTATTTGCATGTGCATGTGTATGTACATGTGTACGTGCACGCGTACGCGTACGTATATGTATAGGTATATGTACATGCATATCTATATGCATGCCTGCAATTGTGTATGTATGCGTGTAGGTATGTATGTATAAATATACATATACTGTGTATATCTATATATATATATATATATATATATATATATATATATATATTACATACATATATATATATATATATATATGTATCTGTATCTATATACATATACGTATGCATATATAATATATATATATATATATATATATATAGATGTGTGTGCAATTATATAAAATTATGTAGTATGTTATGTTCCATATTGTAATGTACTATGCATTATTGTGGGGCTTCGGATTTGGAAGCCTGGGATTTAGTGCCTTGGCTGTTTCACTGGAGTTTTAATTCGCCGTTATAAACAAATTTTAGGTGGATGGTCAGATGCAGCTTACCGTTGAGGCCGGGGCTGAAGTGGCTGCGATGGCACTGCAAGCAAGCTGCGTAATCCTTGCGGATCTCGTGAAAGCACCGTCATCTTACCAGCATGTATCACACATGGGCTACATGAGCCCGTGGCCCGTCGGGCACCCCTGTCACAAGCGTCCAGTCGGGTCCATGCTGTACCTCAGCAGCGCCAGACTGGAATTTGCATGCAAAGTGCCGCAACTTAGGCCAAGTCAGAGAAGACGCACATGAAGGGGCCGTTGCCCCCACTTCCTCGGAACTCAGTGCGACCGCGTGCTCAAATCCTCCGAAACCAAGGCAGCGGCCCATCTCTGCTGCTTCAATTTCCCCATTCAGGACCATCCTGAAACACCTAGCTCTTCAGATTCGGCAGGAACGTGGCCATCTACCCTATCTGAACACACGCTGAGAACGGCGGAATATAAGAGGCCCACGTCGCTTTCGTGTCGGGCCTCTCGCGGCGAGCCTGGCACTTCACAGACTACACTGGCTACACTTCTCCACACCATGGGGTACGAGTATTTTGTTTTCAAATAAGACATGAATGACTCTTCCCACATCGTGCTGGAGTTTGGAGCTGATCCCTGAGGCCTGCGGGGCCTGATTTACGGTGAGGCCTTTGGGACGTAAGCGTTTCGGTTTTTGCGCTGGGCGCGTCCTCTGGCACTCTGCGACTCATGCATCTCAGGCGGTTCATGAACAGAGCAAGCACCTCCGCCTACCCAGGAACAAGGTACCAGAAGATACAGGAGCATAGAATGCTGCACAATGGTACACATTATGTTGCCGAAGCAGCAGGAGGTAACCATGGATACATCCTACAGTATGCGGTATGTATATGTAGCAGCATGCATGCCTGTGCATTGTGTATGAACATGATGTTTTCTATTTCTATGCGCAAGCGTGCTTGGCCAAAAATTGCCATCCCTGAGAACGGCCTGCGGCGAGAGATCTCCCGGGCCTGAGTTGAGCAAATGGGAGTTTCCAATAATAGGGGTACCATATTATGTAGTCCTTATAATAAGGATCCTACATAGTTAGGGTACCATATTAGGGTCCCCTATTTTCGGAAACCCCCAAATCGACATGCGCATGTTGGAGGAAAGAATTGAAATTGGAGGCTCGGGCCCAGGGCTGAGCCCGAGGCTGGGTTTTGCTTCCTCCTGTTAGAATTGCTACCACCCTAGCCCTAAACACTTCTAAAGTCCGAACCCGAAACTCTGAACCCTAAACCCACCACCACCACCACGACCACCACCAGCACCACGCTTGCTTCCCTCAGGGGCCCGTGCGCCTGGCCTCCTCCGGCCTTGGAAAGCAGAACGACTGTCGTGCCATAGAAAGGGCGAGGAAAGGCGACATACCAAATCATTTCGGAATCCTGCATATAGCCGAGACAATACTAACAAACAATAATGACAATAATCATAATACGAACAATTACAATCAGAATAAAGGTCATGATGCTAACCAGAGCCATAATAATGAGCAAGGCGATGCTACGATGAAAAGGTGATGTGGATTTCAATCATGTATACTTCTCTTCTGTAACCCTATAGAAAATGTGGACAGGCAATCAGGCCCGTGTGTTATCTGGGCTCAGGGATTAGCATTCATGTTCCTTCTATCATGACTGCGATGGTGATGGTCAGTACGGGTCTTTCGTCTTCGCTACTGTTTCTTATCACTCCTGATTCTCGTGTGAAATGACGACTTGGGTTGAAACCTGGTCCATGGCGGGTTCATTAGCCAGAACTTGCTAGCTATGGAGTGAGATCATCGAGAGAACCTTCGAGAGAGCCTGCTGCGGACATTCCGTCACAGCAGCTACAAAAGGAGCTTCGTCATTGGCTGAGCGATTCAAACATGCAAGCTTTCAGGCCGATGGTGCGCTAACACCCTAGCACACGACTCTTCGGATGCACTGCGTCACAGTGTAGTTGGCAGAAGTCCTCCAAAGGCCGGTCGTCATGGACTTTTGTTCTTGCTGCATCCGGGCTGCTTTGACACCCTAGGAATGATGTCTAAGGCCTTCCTACGAGAGTACGCAGGCTGAGGGCCGCTTCGGACGCTCCGCACCGGCATCCAACAGCAGCTGCTCGACGGAAGTATGACCGTTTCTTGACGCTTCCATCAAAGCTGTGCGGTCTTCTGAGTCACGCGCATCTTTCTCGGCACCAGCTTCCAAAAGCAGCTGCACGACCGCAGCATGACCGTTCATCGATGCTGCAATCACAGCTGTACGCCCGTTGATGTCCTGCACGTCTTTCCGAGCGCCGGCTTCCAAAAGCAATCGCACGACTGGGGCGTGGCCCTTGTCTGCGGCAGCGAAGAGTGGGGTATGGCCCATAGTGTTGCAAAACTCTTTGTCAGCCCCCGCTTCCAGGAGCAACTGCACAACATCCGCTTGGCCGCGAGCTGACGCGTTATACAGCAAGGTGATGGCCCAGTTGCGAAACTCCTTGTCACGAACGTCCGGGTCCATCGGAAGCTGCAGCAGCCTGTCGACCTGCAAGCTTCAAAACGGCTTCCTTCCTTATATAGATGGGGGAGACAGAGCATTCCTGGAATTTCTAAAACGTTCACTGGGATTTCTTGTCTGCCCGCCTCCGTCAAGTTGCCCTTGACTGCCGCGGCAAAAAGATCTTCCTGCTGGTTCTCCGCAGCTTCGTTGAACTCCACTACCACAACCTGCAGATCCATCGCGGAATCCAACTTGACGGAGTCATCCAAAGGGCTACCATCATGAAGTAGCCGTTGCCTAAACCGCGGCGGCAAGCCGTGCTGCTTTGTTAATCGCTGCTTCAAGGACTTCACATCGCTCAGCTCTGTGAGAGGAACCTTTGTCAACTCCTCCCCTGACATCCGCGTGACGCGTAGCATGGCCATGGCTGCGGGAGAGCCCGGGCCCCCCGGGTATTGCGAAGCTTCGTCTTCAGTGTGTCGTCCCCGGGAAAAAACTGGAAGAACTGAAACCCGCAAAAAGGCAAGTCGCTTTTGGCTTTGGGCACGGAACCTGCGAGGTACTGGCAAGTACAGCCGTGGGGTTCGCCCCGACACCGAGCTGATTTGGGCCCGACGCCTTGAGCCTCGTCGTGCGAATGAAGCTTAGGCCTAGGCCCTTCTACCTGCACTTTCAAAGACGGTCTCGTTCATCAACAAATCGTGTTTTATTGCCAAGGGTCTGGTTGAACTCGGGGCTGAGGGCATCATCAAGAGCCTACGAAGGGCCTGAATACAGTCCGGATCTGAGGTTCCAGACCCATGTTGTGTCGTAGAGCCCTCCCTAAGCTCGCGAAAGGAATTTCGCTGAGCCAATTCCCAGACCGGAAGGTCACAGTGCAGTGCTGTTCGCGAACAATGGGGTGCAGTCATGCTCTCTTAATCTGTGGCTGCCGTACAGCTGAAAGCCCCTGATTTGCTGAGAACTCTAAAAATCATACCAAGCGGCCGATCGCCGCCCATGAGCCGAGACGTTGCATCTTGCAGCGCCTTTCGCACTGATGTCGATATCGGGCGACGTCACTAACCCCAGAAAACGAATAGGTTGCAAGATGTCGACCAAAAGTTGGAAGGTGCGTTCTGAAGAGTAGACCCCTTTTGCTGACTGAAGAATCCTGAACCTTCGTCTTTTCTCATACCTCGCCCCAAGATTCCACAAGGTTTTCTACAAGGTTTTACGACACCTGAGGACCTGAGAGCTGCCCTGATGCTCTGAACCCCAAACCCCTCACCCCTAAAAATTAAACCTCTTCCCCTAAACTTTAACCTCTAAACCCTCATCCCCTGAACCTAGGCCCCTAAGCCCCTAAACCCTAAACCCCAAAACCCTGAACGCCTAAATCCCAAGCCTAGGGCCTAAACCCGGAGCCCCCAAGTCCCTAAACCCCTAAACCCCTAAAACCCCTATAAACCCTAAACCCGAAGCCCCTAAACCCCTAAACCTCTAAACCCCGCAGTCCCTCAACCCAAAGCCCCTTAATTTCCAGACCGCAAACCCCCAGACCCTAAACCCTGAACACGTAAGCCCCAAATAGCCCCAAACCGAGCCTCCAGAGAGGCAGGGCGGGCAGCGGCCACGTCGCTGGGAGGGGGCCTCAGGCTCTCGTGGATCCCCTGAACCCTAAACCCTAAAACGCCCCAAGTGCAGGCCAGCTGCATTGGCGGGCCTCCACCTGAGGCACCCCGAGAGCCCAAGCCCTAACCCCTTTTAGGAAGAGAAAGCCAAGACCTTTTCTCACTTACTAAAATCCCCAGGAACCCAGGGCCTCTTCGGTTTGCTTCAGGCTTGCTTGAAGAGGCCGCTAAGAGTAGGATTAGGACCAGTGAGAGATGACATCTTAGCCCGCCCGGCCCTGGTTTTCAGGATTCCCAGCAGCTCGCACCTGGTGGCGGCAGGGGTGGCTGCGGCGGCTGGGGTGCCGCGCCGCTGTCCTGGACCTGGGCACTGGTCTCTTAAGAGGAAGACGGTTCCTGGCAGTTGCGGCTAGGGTCGCGGCCATGCCCAAGAGATTTTGAGTAGCTTCATCCTGGCAGGAAGTTAAGGCTTCGCCTTTGGGCTTCAGTGCCTTTAGAGGTTTAGGGCTTTCGTAAGTCAATCGATCCGTCCTGCGCTCGTTGAAGCACGGTGCCGAAAGAAGTCATGTGACGGCATGCATGAATTTCAGCTTACGGTGCCTGCTATCCTGTCCTGACTTGCTTGGTGCAGGCACTTCATGTTAGCTGCTCACAGCTGCAAACATGTACCCAAAGTCTAAATCGTAGGAAGTCCGACGACCTCGTCTAGCTGATCTAGCTCATGAGCCTCCAAGCTTTGACGGTCGATGGTCAAGTCAACATACAAGAAGCGGTGGACGCCGGGTGGCTGCTACTAGCAGCTCTTCCGGGTAGGAGCCCTGCTCTCCTGGTTTCTCAGATGCCTCCACTGTACACAGAGCTAGGGAAGTGAGACCTGGGCAAGCTGTACAGAGCATCACAGCCAAGGCCGTGACGCTGTGCCGAAGAGGGTTACTTACTAGCCGCACAGCGTGAGGATGGTCTGATGCCAGGAGCTCTTACCAGCTGTAGTCCCACCAAGCCGACCAAGCCCATCCAGCATCGTAGTACACCAGCCAGCTCCAGAGCACCGCATTCTGAAGCTCCAGGTGCCTATAGGCAGTGTAGGCTGCTTCTTCGAGCTCCTGCAAGGATGGACCCTGACAAGGCGTTTCCGGCTGTCGCTTGAGCTTGGGCCTCCAATGGCACTTCGAAGTACGAGCTCTTCTCTTGGCCCTGAGTCTGAGGGCCTTGCCGTCCTGGAGCCGATAAAGCAAAGGGCACATCTCATCTGGGCCCTCTAAGCCCTCTGCTACGGAGTCCCTTCTTTTGGAGCCCGGTCCGGTCCACTGCCGTTTGGAACCGTTCCTGACAGCCCAAAGCAGGGTCTCCGCGAGGAAGTCCTCGGAGTAGGAGCCTAAACCCATCATCTCCAGGATCTCCCGCACTGCTTTTTCATGCTGCAGAGAGCAGCACAGCTGGCTGATCTCCTCATGTGCCTGCGGCAAGTGGCCGCAGTTCCGGTCGAAGGCTGCCATCATATCTTCGAGTGACGAGCCTCTTGGTCGACCAACTCTACTAACGTAGGTGGCTATGAAACAGAGCACTTTACACGCATCTGGCGCGAACATGTCCCATTGCGCGACGATGCCTGCAGCTGTCGTATCCGAAGTTGCATCGAAGACGTAGCCTCCGCACTCCTGCCGCCAAACGTGCCGTCGCAAAGCTTCGGGAACAACGGCCGCCTGCAAATCGCCCCACTCCAGATCGTCAACGATGAGCATGCAGTGCAAAAGATCGCCCAAACTAGGCGTCACGTGGCGCAGCCGGGACTCCGGATGATGCAGAAACAGTCGCAAGCGACGGTGAGCGACCTGCTTCAGCTCAGGCCACTCATGCGCCAACTGCAGCAGCAACCTATGCGAATCTCCATACATCTGTATAGCGCGTTCAGTCACCTGCCCGAGACTCAACGAAACAGCGGCCTGGGTTAGCAACGAACAGCATACCGAGAGAGCGGTCTCGGGGAATTCCTTACAAGGAGCACCGGATAGGGCCACGACAGCCGACTCTACATATGGCCTCGCCCGTGCCCAGTGCTTTCCGTCGACGAAGAGTGGGAGCCAAGCATTTAGCTGGCCACGGGAAGATGACACCAGGGCAGCTTCCCTTCCTCGACCTTTCATCGCTTGCAGTCCCGTGTTGAAAGCATTCACGTCCAGGTAGTCCATGCTGAAGGAGACGTCGTGCGGGAGCCTGAAGCGGACTTGGCGGCGTGTTCGACGGTGCACAAACAAGCCAAGGCCAAGAACTGTGTCCTCCTCATGAGCCGATGCCAGAGAGATGTAGCAGACCCGTTCTGAGTCTGATGATTCTGAGTCCCCGTAAGAGTCCTCCGAAGCGGCATCTTGCTCGCTGGAGCCGCAAGACAGACGAGGCGCAACGACGGCGGGATAGAATGCTGCAGCATCCCTTCTTCCGTGTCGGTGTCCTCGCGAATTCCGCGAATGCTGCATTGCGCAATTCGTACTCTTCACTGGATCTTTCAGACGAAACTGGAGCTACACTAAACGCTTGGGCCAGGCTGAAGCTCACAAGCGATGCCGGATTGTCGCGACGTTCGGATGTGCTCCTGTGACAAGGTGTCAGATACGCAGTTCGGCTTGACAGCCGCAACTTCTCTCGTTGTGTTTCTAGCAAGGCTCACGAACAAGCTGTGAGGCCTGCTGGAGAAACTTTGCTTCCAAGCCAGTGCAGCGACAAAAAGGGAAGCCTTGACAAAGCCCAGTGTACACGAGTGGACACACACATACACACCCGAAACTCTTCAGAGGTGTCAAGAACGATGAAATGGGGGTATATGAGGTGACTCGAGATTCAAGTCAAGTCACTACCTCACTACCCTGGGATGCACAGCCCTTGACTGCGTCTCTTCTCGGGCTCTCAGGTTTCCATGGCCGGAAGGCTTGCAAACGTAGGACTCCACTGCTCTGCCTGATCCCATCGAAGCCTTGACCCAAGCCCTGGAGCCAGAAAAACGAGCCCACCGCCCGAATCAAAGGCATGTCGGACCGCAAAATCTGGAGAATGGGAACGGACAAAGCAACTTCTTTTGATAGCAGAGGCTCCCTGCAACAGTATCTACAGCTCCTGGCACAGTTCGCCGAGGAGAGACCTAGAACTTCGGGGCTCGAGCTTGCACTTGAGCACACCACTTTGCGAAGGCTGCCTCACCCATGGCTGAGGCATTCGAAGGAACTGGCCAAGACTCAACACCTCGGAGGCTACGGAGCATCCCCCGCCTTGTGGCAAATGCTACTCCATGGCCCCAAGACTACACTGAACACATTCGTCGATCCTCTGAACATTGAACAGATTAGATGCTGAGGTGGAGCTGCGCATCCTAGTGTTGCTGCTAAGCCGTTTAAAAGACTCCATGCTTGCTAAGGGGCAGTAGCTGCGGCGACCTTTGTCCGCGCGTACCATCTCCTCAGGTGAGCAGAACAGCCGTATGGGAACCCTACGGACGTGGCATTTCGATTAATGGCCCTCGAAACTCAAAAGTTCCGAGCAAGATAGGTTCTCTTGTCGAGCAGCTGATCCCGGCTTGTAGCTCTGATGTCCACACGAGGAAGTTTTCCTTAGCACAGGACTTGGAGACATGGCGCTTTCACGAAAGTGAGGAGTGTCCAGGCATCCAGCATTCCACAGTGCGTGCGGCCGAACAGACTTCTCAAGGACAGCTCAACACTAATCTGCTCTTTTTTGCCTGGGTGCGTCTTCAACAGCCTCGCTATGGTTCCATCGGATGACGGCTTGTAGGCCATAGTGCCCGGTATGGGTTCGAGGCAAAGCAAAGCTCGAGCTCTGAACTTCGGGCATCATGTGGGAGTTGAGAAGATAGGGAACCCTAACGCAGAACTCTAAATCAACCGATTCTTATTCTAAGTTCCCCGAAATAGAAGGTACCCCTATTTGTTGAAACTCCCATGCGGCCAAAGGCTGGAGTAAGTCATGCAGTTCCTGATCATCTCCTCAAAATCTTCTCAGAACTCAAGCCACGAAGTCTGAAGAGCCTTCCTCCTCGCGAACCCTTGGTTCTCGCGCTTTGGAAACAGGGAAGCGCTCAAACATCATAACATCTGAGCATCAAGCAGAGGAATGCAGGACCGGGCCTGTAGGAGCGCAAAAGCTCGTACATGTAGCAAATTCGAACTTCACTGCTCGTAGCCCAGTCGTAAACAGACCTCAGCTTTCCCAATGAATCTACCCTGCTACTATTGAACGAAACAGGAGCAGATCAGACGGATATTGATACCACTATCTGCGAAAGTCCCAAGCTACACGATTGCGTCTTATATACGGCCAAGCAAAAGGTTGAATTGTGTTCCAACTTCTGCAACCGAAGGCCTGCTTCGGGAACGGATTCAAGGGTGGAATGGCTAAGACGCCTACACATTGCTGGGCAGTACTGCTCCTTTGCACAATAATCGAATCCCCCCCTCCCTTGACCCCGGGGTGGGGGGGGTCCAAATCGCAAATTGCAATTCGGACCCTTCCGAACCCTGCGTTCTGAAAGGCGCATATTGCAAAAAATAATGCAGACTGGGGGGGATCCCCCCCCCCCCAATATTAAGGGTGCAGGGATATAATCGATTCTTACTGACTTAGGAAGCCTGTTCCATGGATGGTAGGGTTTGGCTTTTCCGGTACAAGTCTGAGTGGCTGTGCACGAGGAGGTAGAGCTGCGAGCTCTCTCCAAGAAGCTTGCATGCTTCCTGGGATAGCTCGCAGTCTTGCTTCTCAACGCTTGATAATGCGAGGTGTCGAGCGGAAGGTGACATGCAATACTTTCCCACATTTTCATGTCTCTCAACGCTCGAATTCCGAAGCTGCAGCTGCGTGTCGTATCTCTTCCACGAAGGCCTTTTCGTGCACGAGCTTGACATGCACATTGTCCTCCACTCACGGCTCTAATCACGGCCGCAGAACTCCCACATCTCCCAGACATCAGATCAGAAGCTCCGGGAACTCTAAGATCATCTACGCTGCAACCCTATCCTGCAGGGCTGCATAAATCGCTTGGCTCACGCCATGCCGACCATTAGAGAACCTCAGCGGTCGAGGGCGCGCCTCCTTCAGCCGCACACTGAAGCCTGGGACTTGAAACTCAGAGACGGGCATGGCCACCACGGAGTTGGAAGCCGCAAACGGGTAGACGCGCCCCGTGTACGTACACTTCGGAGCCGATGTCAGCAAGAAGCGATACCTCGGGGCCGTAATAATTAGAATAGGGTTTTGGGTCAAGTAATACTACAGTTATAATAAGGAACCACAAGATCAGTGGTAAAAGCAGCAACTGAACATCCGACTGCACATCACGCAGCAAAAAACTGCTTCGGGTGTGTTGGTTTGGTCTCAAGCGCTGTCAACGCACCCAAGCAAGCCTTAATAGCCCTCTTACTCGACTACCCCCAACCCCCCCTCCACACCCTAAGCACCTCTTGTACGGACACTACAGCTGCGAGGCCTGAATGGATCCAAGTGCCTCAACTGCTCCAGCCAGGACACTCGGTGTGCTTTCAGCCTCGGATCGCTGTCACATAATAATGACTATGGTATATATATATATATATATATATATATATGGTCACCCCCCCTTGACAGACCATGCCTTTCAACTCAGTCGTAGTGCATGGTCTGTGATCGGGGGAGGGGGCACTCAGCTTTCAAAAACGCAATTCCAAAATTTCCAAAATTCTCTCCCCTAACTTTCCGGATTTCCAAAATTTCCCAAAGTTCCGAAATTTCCAAAATTTCCAAAAAGTCCGCCCTTATGTTTTGGAAAAATCCTGTCCACTAGGTCGGGCCGTTTTGGAAATTTTGGAAATTTCGGAAATTCTGGAAATTTAGGAAATTTTGGAAAAATTGGAAAATTTGGAAATTTTGGAAAATTTGGAAATTTTGGAATCTCTGGACCTTGGAATGGATTCTCAGGAGGGCTGATTGTGACCCATCCGATGACAGACCATGCACGACTTACTTGCAAAGGCAAGGACTGTCAATACTCATGCCCATATTTAGACGAATAACTCTCTATCTATCTGTCTATCTATATATACATATATGTATTGATACTCCTACACATAGTATTGCCATTGCTAACACTGACATTGATCATTTGTTGAATGCTCAAGCTAATACCAGCATTACTACTAATATTACAATTTTATAAAGCTTAGTACGAATATGCATAACACAAATACTTATTGCTATTAGTACTCCTACGCATATCAATAACCATATTCATATTGATAATAGTGTATATTAATACCAATACTAACACACACCTGTATGTACTAATGTACATAAACATGCATACCACTATATTAAAATACAGATCCTTTAACTTACTCATGTATTCAACTGTTAGAATTTCACGTGATCAAGAGTAATAATAATACAAACATTCTTGCGAATGTAGATCATCAATAACTTTATAGTACTAACGCTAACACTACTGCAAATACTTAACACAAAATTTATACTAACATCAATATTTACATAGCTATTGATACTCCTACGAATACGAATACGTAAACTCTTGTGCGTTAACAGTAGTGCTATCACCAACACTAATACGGACTTTGGTAATCTGCTGAATATTCAAGAATGCCACTAGTATTACCAGCATGAACACTCATATTATGGCTAATACGAGTATAAATAGTCCTAATTCTAATAATATTGACATTAATACTCCTACGAATACCAATAGTATATTCATATTGATATGAAAACTAATATCATTACTAATAGACACCTGCATATACTAATGTACATAAAATACATACCACAATCTTAAGAGACAGATATATACATCAGTGCATTCATGTATTAATGCTTTGGCATAGGCATATACCCATATACCAATGTAGCAATATACTTCTCGTTGTTGTATGAATGTACTATACGAATATGTGACTATACTCATATACGACTACTGCACTATGCAAGACTACCGACATGACAAGTTCGTATACTAATATGCCAACATACTGATATACTTATAAATGATTAGATAAAACAGTAGTATAGTACACATACTCGTATACTAATATGCTAACGTACGAATATATTGGTATGTCAATATATTAGTAAGCTAATGCAGCAATATAGTAGTGTATTCATGCACCAGTTGTACTAACATGTAAAATATACTAGTATACAAGTATGCAAATATTTTACTGTTCGAATACATTGATGTATTGATATACTAATCTGCTAAATATACGAGACTATCAATGTACAAATATATCAAAACTAACTACTTCTAATATTGATACTAGTTCTAGCACTTCTGCGAATAAGCTGCTGTTAAACCCAGCATTAAGACTGATACTGATACTGCTCGTAGCAGTGGTACTGTTTTTTGCTATCATTGACACTGGCACTCGCGCTAACGCTAACACGAACATGAGCACTAACACTATTTTATAGTTGGCAATATTCATATGTATACTTACAGCAAACAATAGTACCTATATTAATAATAATACTCACCCTAATACCGATACTACCACAAGACTATTACGTAACTCATGTGCCGCACGTCTGGTGCTATACTATGTACCTCATGTAAAGGTTTTGCTTCATAGAATATCGTCGTGCACGGTGTTCTTTAGACCCGTGGTCTGTCAACGGGGGGGGGGGTGAGCATGTATATATATATATATATATACATATGTATATCAGCAAATGGGGTTACTGTGTCCAACTCCGCGAAGTCGTCGTTTGCTGCTTGTTCTTGTGGGCAGACCATCCGTCTGAAATTTTTTGGACAAACCGACCCATCCAATCGAAAAGCACCGGCATTGATCCAGGGCACTTCTTGACTTCGCGACACAGGTCCTTGGCTGGAAGGCGCCCCGAAACAGCAGTTCCAACAACGCTGGAGGTCGACGAACGGCACAGTTTCGCCTATGTCAGGTCGAGGCACCTGTGGCTCCTTATCACCGCAGTCGAGCGTGCTCAGGGATGCATTCAGCACATCCGGGTGCCTTTGCAAGTTTGCTGAACGGAGTTGAAAAGGTCTGCTGGGTCGGGATCTATATGGGCTATGGACCTCCTTCAAGCTTGTACATCTAGAAAGCACCTAAACTGGCATCTGGCAAAGTTTCTGGTGCTCTGTTCTTGATGCATCGTAACAAAGTTCGATATCCAGCTAGCACGCCCACGCAACACTGGTCGCCAGACCGCTGTATCTGGTAAAATTAGGATGTCCAGCTATCGATTCTCGAAAGAAAATGACATCAAACCTTGTAGTGTTCACAGTTCCCCGCAGTCTAAACCCCACTGTGCAAGCGAGCGCATGCCTCTTACTTAAATCAAACCACCTGGCTTAGATCCTACGAGGAGGCGATGGAAGGGCCGCCACTGTTTGTTGTGGACACTTGCTTGCGATGTGTTGCTTTTGCAGGCATCATAACTGCCGTTGACGTACCTGCAGCTTGAATTTCACCAGAGTGTAAAGCTTGGGTTTTGGCATCTAGAGTCTAAGGGTTTAGGGTTATGCTACACTGTGCGACTTGCTGTAGCGACTCTGAAACCCTCCTTGTTGTGTGAAGTTGCTGGAGCGAGGCCTTGGGCATCAAGATCCGAGGGCTCCTCCTTAGGCTGCCACGCATTCTGTGCGCTGGGAGGCAACCTTGAGGTGTTTTCGGTGAAAACCATGGCTCTGGTGGCAAGTTGTCGGTCAAAGCTTCAAGATTAACTTGCAGAGGTCGTCGGCGTGCAGGAGAGAATGCAGCTGCCAACTGCCAAGATGCATGCAAGAGTACAGCCAGTACAGTAGATGTGCTACAAGTAGCCGAAAGCACGGTGCACCATTTAACAGGGAGAAGATCCTGGGCTGAAAAAGGTTGGAGAAGCCCAAACAGGATGGCATCCCATGCAGCAGCACCGCTCTGGCACACCCTCCCTCGGATCTAGATTGTCTAGATGCTGCCATTTTGTCTCGTCGGGAAAGCAAGAATGCTAAATAGCCCAACGAAGCAGCCGCAGCTGAGATTTGTTGCCGACCAGTTATACACAACGACACAACGACGGGGAAAGCTACCTGTTTTCGCTCAAGCTTGGGTTGGCCCACAAGAGGGCATCACAGGGACCAGGGTCTATCAGACTGATTCACGTAACTCCGACATCGACCACTTCAACACAGCCTCATCTACGAAGATCTCTGTGAAGCGTGCACAAATGCCTGGAGGGAGCTCCTCGAGGCATCCTGTCATAGCCGAACCTTCTGGAGACTTCATACAGTACCTGTGTAGCCTGCAATCTGCTGCTTGAGTACTGTGAGCTGCGCCCAACGTACTACTTTCATTGGGAAAATTGGGGATGATTGGCTGGGTATATTGGGGATGCTTGTGAAAAGTAGTGTTGGGGATGTGGATGCCATCGAGATCTGTTCTTCACTCGAACTGGGCCCGCCTTTTGCAAGCCTGAGACGTGAGGACCTTGAACTACAATGCTGGAATACTCAAGCCTGAAACCAGAAACCCGAAAGCCTCCAAGTCCTGTAAAGCGCTGGAACACTGCCAAACGTATTAAGTTGATAGCATGGAACCCAAGACCTGGACAGTGCATCCTTGGAACTATGAAGCTTGGCCTACCATGGAACCGCAGAGCATCATGCTAACCTTGCGGCTTGACGAAACCTCAATGGGCTCGATGTGCTACTATTGCATTGCATGCCCATGTAACCTCCAACCCTGACACTAAGACATGCAAACCCGATCACCGACGAAGCTCACATCTGCAACACACCTCCAATTCGGGTTGACCTTGGACTTTTTGCACAGTTTTGCCACAGTCATGAGCCACGCTACCGCTAGAAACACACAACGTACCGCGTGGACCCTGAGACAAGGCCTGCGTCCACCATATCGGCAAGACCTTGCGATTCCGACAGCAACTCCGCAAGTAAGCAAGTGCCTGGGAGCTGCAGCAAAGAAATTGAATGCAGCCAAAGTGCGGGGCACAGCGCTTTGCCTTCGGCGAGCCCTGGCACTTCCAGTTCCACAGTAAGAGCCCCCCACATTTGCAAGATGGTAGGCTCAGCTGTGCACTGACTCAGTAGCACCCCACGCCTTTGGGCAGTTCCTCCACCTGCATCCAAAGACACGAATGCAAGGTCAAGCAAGAATGCGATCCCCCGACAGAGCCCTGTCTTGACCAGATATGTTGGATTGGAGCCGTGATTGGCTAAGCTGAACACGGCACTCGGAAGCCTGTGGTCTTGGCCAGAGCGGCCGAAAGGAAATCTGCAACCACTCGCACACATAGCCTCATGGAGCAGCCAATCGACCAAAAGCCACGGCGATAAATTTCCAACTGGCAGCAAAGGGAACTCCGATCGCAGCTGCAAAAAACTTTTTGCTTCTGGCGTATGCGGAAGTGGGATTGCATCTGCTTCCCATTTCACGCGTTGTTCGCAGCCATTCTGGCAAGCAGTTTCCCTGAAGAGTTCTCATGAACGAAAGCTAGGAACATGGCTGCTTAGCGGAAAAGGCTGCTTCGGTTCACGGCTTGAGCATCTCTATTCTTCAGTTGTGCGTGGCAAACTTTCAACATGTTCGCCAATCCAGATCTTACTTCTGCCGGTAGAGGCCTAGATGGCCAACAGTCTTCAGCTGCTGGGGTGGCAGGTGGAGCCTTGACATCCGCAGTTAGTGAGGTCCCAGCCTTCTCAGAAGCACGTGGTCGTTCAGCTCAGTGGGATGGTACAGTTCAGTCATGCGAAAGGGAAAGATCGCAGTACACTGCGGCAGGTCGTTTGCGCCAGCCCGTTCCCATTCCACAGGATCCTAGCGTTTCAGCATCCATGACGCAATTGCTTTTGGAGCAAAACCGGGGAGACTCCACATTCTTCCAGACTATTCCAAGAGCCGAAGGATTTGCTCGTTGGTGTAGATCCTGCACTGAGAGGTGTCTTTGAAAGCTTTGCCAAAGACACGAAGCACACATTCGCAGCTTGGGAAACACAGCGAAGTCTTCATGATAAGTATTCCAAGTTGGTTGATGAAAACAGGCTCCATGCGCATTTCCAAGCAGAGGCAACTTTCAAGTGGCAATTCGCAAAGCGCTACATTGCTCAGGCTCAGCCTTTGGCACCTGATGGGTCAGGGATTGCCATGACAGACGAGCCCTATGATTTGCTTGCCGATTGGGAAGAGATGCGTAAGAGGCATGCGCAGGAATGTTTCGCCTTCGTTCGCCTTCATCAAGAGCGCTGTTTGAAGATGTATGATGAAGAAGTTTCATGTGAAGCTCTTCAGCGCAAGCTTCGGGACAAGGTCGTCGCGTGGTTGGCTCAGTATGGTTACAACGATGCTGGGATAGCGGAAAGCATGGTTCACAAATCGAAGCAGTTCGTTGATAGTTTGGTTCGTTTGGAACGTCCAAGAGTCAAAAATCGCATTGATAAGGATAAGGAGCAGAAACAAAAACGCGAACAAGCTTTACTGGATGCCACGTGTAAATGGGAGAGTTTGGATGTGAAGGATGTGCTTTCCCCTGCTCTGCTGGAGTTAGCAAGCCGCGGTTCAGCACGCAGTAAACCGTTGACAGTTAAAGAAGACAGTGCTTTGGCTTTCCTCGTCAAAGACAACGCCGAGTTACAGGAGAAGCATCGCATCAAGATTACTTCCAGTGCGGTGCGTGTGCCAACTCCGAAGCACAAGCCCAAGCCTTCACCGCGGCGTGGACGTGCGACGGACAGATCTCCCTCGAGGCATCGTCCTGCTTCTATTCTCAAGGGAAGCCGTTCACCTGCCAAGTCGCGAGCCTCGTCACGTACGGAAGCATCACCTGGTAGACGAGTTACGTTTGCAGATGGTGCCAAAGGAAAAGGAAAAGGCAAGGGTAAAGGCCAGAGCAAAGGAAGAGGTAAAGGACCAGGAAGGTCAAAGAGAAAATAACATTTAGAAGCAGGGGCCGCTCCTTCTGGTCTAATGGTGACAAGTGCACTGTTGATTTCTACAAGTTCTGCGTTGTGCGGTGCTTGCGTTCCCACTTTCGCACTTTACTTTGCAGACCTCGTTTCAAAGGAGTTCACAACTTGATCCCGACACATGTTTTGGAAATACAACAGTATGTTCTTTTGCATGTTTCAAAGGGTGGCAAGTTCATCCCCACTGGTCGTCGCACTACGTCGCAAGCTTTACCATCTCATCTGCCCGTGTTTCATCGCCAGCCAGCTTCTGCTTCGCAAGGTGTTCCCAGCTGATGCAACAAAGCGCATATCTCGTTGCCGTGTTTCGTCTTCCTGGCAGCCGCCTGGAGATTGTCATATTGACGCATTTATTCGGCTTCTTCGGGATGATCTTGCTGATTTTGAGGCGTCAGATGTACGCTCCAATCTCGGTTGGATGGATCGCAAAGCGCAGATTTGGTTGAAACAGCATCGCGACACAGTATGTGTGATTGACTGTGACAAAGGCTTGGGGGAAGCCATTGTTCTTCGTTCGTGGGTGAATGAACCAGTTGCCCTTCAGCTTTCGCATGGTTATGTACAGTTGAACCCGGCTGAGCTTCACGAGAAGATGAATGGCTGCAAGCAGAGGGCTGATGTCCTTGTGCAGTTTTTTCGTTCATCGGGCGTGTTGTCGTTACATCAGGCACGCTTCCTTTTGAGTAAGTTGAATTCTGCTTCTGCCGGTTGTTTTAGAATTTTGGCGAAAGTACACAAGCACCCTGCTGCTTCGAGACCAGTTTGCAATGTTCGCTGCATGTGGTTTGGTCCTTTCAACTTATTTCTCGTTGAGCAGTTGAACCCTGTCGTGAATGCGCTGCATACAGTCGTCACTTCAACTGACAGCTTGCTTCATGAGCTTGGCGGTTTGAGTTGCAAGCCTGGCTACAGATTCGTGACGCTGGATGTGGTAAACTTATACCCATCGCATCTTTTTCAATCCATCGTCCCATGCTTGAGGCGCCACATTCCAGACCATCAGAAATGCACGTTCATTATTCGAGCGTTGGAGCTCGTTATGGATGCATGCGTGGTGTCCTTCAATGGGGAGGTCTCCGAATCACAAGATGGTGTTGCCACTGGTTTGGGCGTTGCAGGTCAAGTTGCAAACATTTACCTGTCAAGCCTCGATAACTTTTTGATGCAGTCCCATGATATTCACTTGCAGTTCTTGCGGCGGTACATTGATGATATCCTTCTTTTGTGGAGTGGTTCCACGCTGGAATTATCTGCTATTGCAAACAGCTGGCATCCTTCATTGAAGTTCGATCTGTCAGGTGATGGATATGTCCATTTCCTTGACGTGGCCTTGCACATTGAGCAAAATAGGTCAGTTTCTTGGTCTATGTATGAGAAACCACTGAACTTGCACTTGTATGTGCCGGCCAACAGCTGTCACCCTGACAGCGTTTTTCACAGCCTGTATGAGAAACCACTGAACTTGCACTTGTATGTGCCGGCCAACAGCTGTCACCCGAACAGCGTTTTTCACAGCCTTCAAATTGGTGGGTTTTGCAGATGTCTGCGCAGGAATTCTTCTTCCGTTGATGCTAAACGAAGCTTAGCTGCTTTCAAGTTGCGTCTGCGGGATCGCGGGTTCAGTATCGTGGCTTTCGAGCGTATCGTCATGCGGTATCAAGACAGGAATGCAGCGAAACAGCGTCGCAGAAACACTATCCGCTAAGTGTTCCTGAAGGTTCCTTTCAACAAAGACATCAATGTGCGCTGGTTGCATCGGCAAACTCACAAGCATTGTGCTCTCGTACATCAAGCAGTTCCGAATATTCGCATGGGGCTGTGTTGGTCCACGGGCATGAATCTTTTCAGACGTCGCTACAAAGATGTCTGGTTGTACAGGGTAGGTTGAGGGTGGGTTTCCAAAAGTTTTTGCTTCTGTCGTATGCGGAAGTGGGATTGCATCTGCTTCCCATTTCACGCGTTGTTCGCAGCCATTCTGGCAAGCAGTTTCCCTGAAGAGTTCTCATGAACGGAAGCTAGGAACATGGCTGCTTAGCGGAAAAGGCTGCTTCGGTTCACGGCTTGAGCATCTCTATTCTTCAGTTGTGCGCAGCAAAAGGAACTCCGATCGCAGCTGCAAAAGCTGCAGCTATTTCCCACGGGCCTGAGTAAAAAACAATCTCTATGGCTCTGGACTACATGTTGTACGAGTTTGGCACCTTGCGCTCAAGGAATCTTCTGGCTAGCTGCACTAACTGCAAGATCTTGCTTGAAGTGTGCTTTCAACTCGAAAATCTTCTGTCGTGGTGAGCGGCCTGCCGCCTGAGCGTCCAGCCTATGTCCTGGCAGCATTGCATCAGCTCGCCTTCAGGCGCCCACAGCCTGCGGCAGTTGCAAGTTTGGCATTACGAAGACTCTTCTGTCTGGTGCTTAGTAGGGAATGGGGGAATGGATCATGGAGACGATTATTGAGGATGCGACGCAGCAAATCGCGACGGCCAACCAGCAGCAGTAATGACCTTCTTACGACTCATGCAACCTGCCTGTCGGCTTCAGCATCATCAACGCATGCGGCGCCTTGCACAAAGCATGAGATGGCAGGTCACTGGCCTGTTGTGTCTGAGGCACCAACACATCAAGGCATGCCCTTCCTCCAGAACGGAGCCATCTGCACCTTCGGCTGTGCTGCAGCTCAAACCAGCTCAAATCAGCAAGGACGCTTGCACACGAGCTTGCAAGAAGCAACTGTGAAGTGCACCTGTGATGGAAAACCGGCACATGGACGATTCCGCTCGAATCTGTAGCCTGGCCATCAACGTGGTGATGGACTGTGATGCTGCATCAGCTGAGAATGGCATGATGCGAAAATGCCGGGATGGCCAGCTTCTCGCTCATAGAATCCTGAGCATCTGCGGACCCTTTGGCACACATCCATAGTCCCAAAACTGCTGCAGACGCCCTCTGCAACAAGCAATCAAGCAACGTACATGAAGTCTCCTCTACCGCTGCAATCATGACGCGTTCAGGCTTCATGGGAAACCACCAGACGTACAATCTGCCGACTACACTCCGCTTACTGACACAAGCTGACGCTGGCTGCCTAGGCTCACGGCTGATGTGGTTGTCGGAAGCTTGCACCTCGAGCCACTTTTTGCACCAGCCGTCAGAGATCGACGGATGCTGCTAAGAGCGGGTCCACGGCCAGCGCTGCAACTTCGCGGAAATCGAAGTCGGCAAGTATGCACGCCACGGTTCGAAGGTGTCAGACTCCACAGGCTACCTGGCACCACGTCATACCAACTAACTCAACGCAACTCAGTTTCTGGCACAGCCTTGACCCAGTTGGCTTGGCAGGAGGACCTCTCACACGTGAAAGTGGAGCCACACATGACATCTGGGTGAGGTTGCGCCGTTCTTGCTATGACAAATCCTCATGCAACATGGACCATTTCCTGGCCAATCCGAACATTTGTGAGTTCGAAGGATTCACCCGCGGATGCCTGCAAAAGAGCTGCACCATGAGTTGATTCATGGATGTGTCTGCCTTCAAGATGTGTTGAAAAAGCTCGAGAATCCTTCATGGTGCAGATGCCTCTGAAACAAGGGATCCGACGTTTCCTGATCCAACCCCCTATCAGGTGTGCTCACAGATGGCTTCGTGCTCGCATTGCATCAGGGCGCTGTGGACCCTGGACCTGGAACCTACACTCAAGCCACTTTTTTGCCACTTTGCCTGCTGGATACCCGTTGCCAGCTTGTGAGAAGCTGACTTAAAAACCGCCAGCCTGTACAGTAGCGCTCGCGGGGTCCAGCGCTTCTCAGCTGCAGAACTCCCACGTTGGAAAGCAGGGGATTTTGGTGTTGAATTTCACCTGCATCCGCCTGCGTCTCCCGTGATCTTCCAATATTCTGATTCCATCCTCGTCGTTGCTCATAGACCAACTGCTGACCTTGGCCTCCTTTGTCTTTCCATTTTTATGCAGGCGTTCTTCAGCCTGCCTCTTGCAATCCTCCTCAAACTCGCCTCTGTACATATCGAAGATCTCTTGCTTGCTCAGGGAGCGCTTGTCGAACCACTCCTTGTTGTATTCGCGTTCGACTACCACCCACAACCCATATTGTCCAAAACATTTGGACCCTTCGTTTCGACGCCGTCTGCAATTTCCTGGAATAGGCCAATTGTTTCCAGTGCCACCACCAGCCTTGCAATTGTTGTGCTGCGTGTCGGCCTGGCAACGAAACGGGATAAGTCTAAACAAGACAATGGGTTCAACGATGTGGGTCAACAGTTAAAATCATTGACCCCCCCAAAAGAGGGCGGCTTAGAGGGCAGCTAAACCTAAATTTCACCAAGGCCACCGGGTCCATCGATATGCCATGCGATGCTGCACATTTGGGTATATCGAACAGAACGGCTACAATCGGGTAGATTGTGCACAACATGGTGTAACGGGATAACTGGGTACATAAGGTGTATGCTGGGTACAAGTTTCAGCAACTTGAGTGCTCTACACACGGATACCTGTTTTCGCTCAAGCTTGGATTGGCCCTGCCAAAAAGAGTGCGTCTCGGGGATCAGGGTCTCTGAGCCAAGTTTCCTATCACATCCTGCCATAGCCGAACCTTCTGGCGACTTCATCATACCTCATCTTCTGCGTGAGTACCGTGTGCTGCGCCCAATGCTACTACGTTCATTGGGTATATTGGGGATGATTGTTTTTTGGGCGTATGGGGCATTCTTGTGAAAAGTAGTGTTGGGAATGCCGCTGTGATCTGTTCTTCACTCGAACTGGGCCCACCTTTTGAAAGCCTGAGACGTGAGGACCTTGAACTACAATCCTGGAATACGCAAGCCTGAAGCCTCCAAGTCCTGTAAAGCACTGGAACGCTGCCAAACGTATTAAGTTGATCGCATGGAACCCAAGACCTGGACAGTGCATCCTTGGAACTATGAGAGCTTGGCCTACCATGGAACCGCAGAGCATCATGCTAACCTTGCGGCATGCAAATTCGGCGCCAAACTTCCCATGAAAGAAGCTCCCCAGGCCCTGCCTGACAGCCGGCCGTCCATGTGACTTTCCTGTCCGTGTTGCAGAAAACCTCCACAGTGCCACCGCTGTACGCATCTGTTTTCGGGCACGGATATTCTTTTGCTGCATTCACCGCGATCTCACCATGCTGGACCACTCCTCCGCCAAGGGAGAAATGTCCGGCTGCGCACGGCCTGGCCTTGCACTTTGACTCCACAACTTGTATCTGAGAGTCAGGGTTGCAAAGGAGTTTCACGGCTTGGACTTGCGGCACGTAGTACTCGTGGACAGGACAGTCAACGAACTTGGTTTCGCCACGCAGCATCACGGGATGCTGCACATTTGCTCGTCCAACGGAAGCGGATCCTGCACTACAAGGTTTGACGCACTCCGGGAGGTCAAGCATGAGCTGGCTCACGTCAACTTCGGACTGGACGTTGTCCACATCGCATTCGAAACGGGTCTGACTAATTGATTCAGCGCCGGAGGCTGAATCCCACACCGGACGAAAGCCGTCCAGGCACTTAATTTCGGTGCTTTGTCCAGCTAGAACTTGGAAGGACGCAGGTACGACGGAATCTGGAAGACTTGATAGCACACAAGGCAGCGCACAGAACTTGCCTGCCCCCACGTCCCGCTCGATGCTGCCTGAAGCGCACCCTGCCTCACATGTGGTCTGCGACATGCAAATTCCCAGTGACGGGCACCATATCTGCTCTTGGTCACAGTTTGACGCAGTGCACAGAAAGGGATTTACCAACTGGGTCGTTGGAGCCAAGGGATCATTGCATTGCGCACACTGTAGCTGGGAGGCGTTGGTTCTCGGCATGCATCGTCGTTTCTTCGGGTCGCTTACATTGCAAAAGACTGGAGCATTGGGAACGAATCGACGGCAGCTAGTCTCTGACATCTCTTGGTGCTCAAGCTCTCCGTGCGCAATCTGCCTCGCCATGTTGGAATCCCACACGGTCATGTTGAGTTGATTTGGATGCCTGCTCTTCTGACACGGAATTGTGCATTCGACTTCTAGCCTGCTGGCATTCCAGTGAAAACCCAAGCACCTGAAACCTTCGCCGCTGGATGAAGTAAACTCCATGACGGCTGGATGAACATTAGCTGGTGGCGGGGAACTGAGGCTCACTTTGACTTTCCATGGAATCCAATTGGGCGCACGATTCTGCACGGTCAACGCGTCCTCCGAATTGGCCTTGCAGCTCACTGCAGTTGTTTCCTTGCTTGCAGTAAGCTCCCCCTGTGCAGGCTGAATGGTTGCCTTTCGGCTTGCAATTTCCACGGCACTTGGTGGGAAAGCTGGGCTAAATGGCCCTTCGTCAACTTCATTCACAGCAGCAACTTGAAAGGTGTACAAGCCTCCTGCAGCCAACCCTGTGACCACAATCCTTGCATCTGGCGGTACATCAACTGTCCGGTGGTGGACTCGCCATGAGTTGCCGGGCGAATAGTACTCATGGCGAATAATTCGCACACGCAAGGCAAGGACGAAGCCTTCAGGCGTTTGGACTTCCAGCTCGATGTGCTGGTTGTTCGGGTCTGCCTCCATTGGGCCAGCAACCAGTTTAGTGATGCTGGGTGCTTCAGGGAGAGGCGGCAAAAGGCTTTCAGCACTGACAGCCGGACCTTGCTTGTAATGTGCCACGACTCGTGTGCAGGGATTGCTACACCAGGAAGCCCAGTCGGAGCTAGCTGAAGAATTGCATATGGGAGGGACGGAACACTTCCCTGGGCAGAATTGCTCACAGTAGGAATCGAAGTGGACAACAACTAACTTGTACTTCTCAACGCACTCCTCCGCACCTGGACCCTGCTCCTCTGGACGACCTGCTGACAAGATGGCTCGCTTGCAATTGACTTTCGCCCCATTCTGGGAGAAAATGGTATTTCGGCCAAAAGCGAGGAACTGCCGGACACTGGCCATAGCCGAGCGAGTAGATGCACCAACACTCATGCCAGAAAGAAGCAAAGCGACAACTGCGTCATAATCAGCGGACATTGTTGGTCCCATGTAATCCGAGAACCTTCGGGCTAGCGTCGCCCCACCATCCTCTTCCAAAGGCATCACCAAGCTGGACATGGAATGCAAAGCATCATACTGCTCTTCTTGATACTTTTGAACGGCCGCCTTGGTGAAATTGCTTGTGTAGTGGAAGTCAAGCGCTTCCACCACATAGTTTTGGATGGTGCTCTTTCGATGCTTGTACAATGCCCGAGAAAGGTTGGCCTTAAACTCCTCAGATCTGCGACACGGCATCGTTCCCCACACTGTTCAAAAGCAGCGGAAGAGGGCGCACGAAAAGCACTCAAAGCGCAGCTATGGCAAGCCGAGGTTCAAGTTGATGGTTCTGAAGCTGCTGCTTGAAGCTTTCAACACCCCAAGTCCAAGACTTGAACCCATGATTGTCTCGCGCCTGATCACAGGAATGGTGACAACGAGAAATCAAAAGGCGAAACTGCTTCCAACGGCGGGACACCACTTGCAGACAACTCACGTTCCTACCTTCAAACCCCTAGATACACCATCATGGAAGAGACAGGCGCTGGAGCAACGGCAGATGGAAGGGAGGGGAGCGGCTGGTCACCCCCCTGAGGAGCCGGAGGGACCTAGGGGGACAAAGGGGGACGGGTTCAGTGGACGGATGAGAGGGGGGGTATAGAAGCCCCGACGAAACCCCTTCAGTTCTGAACCCGAAAACTTTGTAAACGGTGTTGCATCTGCCAGGAAGACATGTCATGGTACTTCCCAACTTTCAACCCTGCAATGTGCTCACGAAAACCAACGAAGCTGGCCAAGCCGCACTGAGGTCATTCATGATTCGCAGTGATTCGTCGAGCTCTTCGGCAACGTTGACGGCTTTGTTGACCAGATCCTTCGTGATTTTCCTGGCGATCTTCTCCCCGGGACCTCAGGTACAAAGATGCACAAGCTGACTTAGCCATCAAAGCCTGTGTGTTGAATGCACCACTCTGGTCCTCTATGTAATGGAGCCCCGAGCTGTTTCCAAGTTCACAGCAATGGCTGCGACAATGAAGGACCGAATTCCCAGTAATTCGGTACGTACAGTTTCCCTTCGGCCAGTGCTTTGCGGTTCTCTCTTCTCGAACCACTAAGGCAAAGGCCATCCAAGAATGAGATAGGGGTGAGAACCACCTGCATAGGCACGCCCCCATCAAGCAGCGCGCTGATGTGAATTTTGGACAAATACTCCAAAGCGCCGATGTAGTCTGTAGGAATTGCCTCGATTTGACCATCACCCTGGGTCTGTCCAGGCACCACATCGCCGTGAAGGTAGATTTTTACCTCTTTGGAGCTGA